ACAGGGAAAGTTACAGGTATGATAATTGTGGTTGTTTTATATTATATATTATTATATTTAGTATATTGCTAATCAGTATATTATTATTTCCCAGGTGACAGAGGTATATGAAGATTTCCCTACAGCTGAGGCACCAATGATCTGCAGTATGGTCGACTCTGCCCTTGGCAAGGTTCAAGCCGGTAGTCCCTTGTCCTACCAACAACCTGCAACAGCAAAGAGAAACCTGTCCTTCCATGCTGCCCCACCACGTCCATCTGTGCCTCTTCAGAGTTACCGCCTACAGCAATCCAGTTGCATGTTTGTCTGCACTGAACAGCAGCTACACCATAAGAGTCTGGAAGTCACCTGGGACATGGCGCACAATTTTGAATGTGCTACCAGAGACCAAAGTTCATGTACTGAATGGCATCAGCTAAGAAGGCATAGACTGACTGCCTCACGTTTCAGGGAGATCTGCCAGGTTCGAGAGAACTCTGAAGAAAACGTGGCTAACCGGATACTGCAAGGAACCCGTCAGATGGCGGCTATGAAGAGGGGGCTCGAATTAGAGGCAGATGCTATCTGGGAATACTGCCAGATGAAAAGGGTGAACCACTACCCCTGTGGATATGCTCCTTGGCTGGGGGCGTCTCCAGATGGGTTAATCTTTGACCCTTCAGAGCCATGTCAGTTTGGGCTGATTGAGATGAAATGCCCAAATGTTAAAAGCTATGTTGACTGCCCATATCTCAAAATGAAGTCAGGCAAATTGGAGCTACAACAAACACATGCTTACTACTGGCAAGTACAGGGGCAGATGTTAATAACAGGAATGAATTGGCGTGATTTTGTAGTTTCAGCTTAGGAAGATGTACTCATTCAAAGAATTTACAGGGGCAATGGTGTTTTAGATGTGATCAGAGAGAAAGTAGACAGGTTTTATTTCTATGTCTATTTGCAGAAATGTCTAATGCTTCAGGAGTAGGGCTGCAACTAATGTAAATAAAAACAGTTGTTAATTAATTTAATAGATAACCAGTCAGTTGTGTAATTGTTGCAGCTCTATGCAGGATTGAAATAAAATACACTTAAATGTTTTTTTTTTTTTTTTAACCATTAAAAGTGAAAATTAAAGTTAAGTTATGATTGAGCACAATAAAAGTGTTTACCCCCCTCAAAAAAGACCAGTCAATTATTACTGTAACTAAATGATTACATTACCATGCCTGTGATTTTTGTGTTTTTTATTTCGCACCTTGAATTTTTTTTACAGAAGATAAATTACATCAAAGGAAATTTACAAAATGTTATTCTTATGAATTATGTATGTTAGACACTGAAAAATAGTTTATATTGATTTAGTTAGAAGATACGGCTACAATATCACACTTCATATCTCCATTTCTTGACCAGAGGTCCATTTTGGTAATTCAAGAGAAGACAAGCAACTGTGAAGAGTTGGTTTATGCTCCCTGCAATGGAGAGAGGGATAGTGGTGTCAAAGAGTTTATTCTCTTTCACTCTTCTGATTATTCTTTCGACATGCACCCTCAAACGGGCAACGGACTGTGTCTTCAGAATATCCTCCTCTGACATTTGGGCCCTCTTGGAGAGGAAGGCAGGACAGTGAACATTCCCAGGTACAAGGTCATCCACCAAGAATCCTTTGTCCACCATGATGGCCATGTCAGGCGTTAAGAGCGATGTAATCCCTGACTGACGAAACACCTTCTTGTCACTCATGGAACCCTCAAAGAGCGCCGACACAAACGTAAGGGCTCCATGAGGGGACATGCCCACCATAGCCTTAAAGGTGCAGTGGGACTTATAGGTTGAGAAAACTTCGCTCTGAAGGAGCAAGGATGAAGGTGTTTGACACCGTATCTCTGTACAATCAAGGATTACTTGCGTGTCGCTGTAAATGCCCTCAAAGTCATGTGGAAGACTGACCTTCACAGCTGCAGGAGACATCCATATACAGACCGAGCCCAGTAAGCTGTAGAGGAAGTTGGCCCAGGTAATGATGATTCGGCTGACTGTTGTTCGGTGGATATTAAATCTGTGACTCAATTCTCTCTGGGTACAGCCAGTGGATAGGTATGTGAGGAAGAGAAAGAGCTCATCTATTGGTAGCAGTTTCTGGGGGAGACATGCTTAATGAGTGTTAATTCAAAACCATCCTTTTCATGCTTAGGGGTGTGGGGGCTGTTGGTACTTACAGTTGGTCTGGTTAAAGGGCTTTCAGTTGTTGTGCTAGTGGCATCGGTTTTCTTTGACCTGGTGACTCTAACTATTTTGGCTGTTGCTGCCTCGATCAAGTTCCAAAATGCCATCAGATGCTCATATGAGAAGAATCTAAAATACAGTATTACAATTGAAATCAGTTGTCCTGTCATACGTGCTCAAAAATATGATTAAGATGACAAAGAGAAAATAATTACTTGGCCAGTTAATCAGTAAACAGTTATGAGTAGATGTTGATATTACAACTATCTTACCTGGTGTAAAATCTGATGTCTTCAGGTGACGAAGCAAACCGTTTAAGTTCAAAGGAGTGATGAAGATGAAATGTTTGGAGCTGCCCTCTCAGCGTCTTGATTTCGCTCAACGCGTGGATTTGTGGAAGTGTGGATTTCATTATCTTGAAAATGTCGGCTGCATACCTTGGTGTGGGGGGTCACCGAAAATCCCGCCCTCCTTATTTTGTGCAGCCACCGCGCACGTAGGCTGGTCTTCTTGGGGAAGCGGTGGAAGCTCAAATGACTGCTATACAGACCTGAAGCTGAGCAAAGCGGCACACAGCAGTGATTCGTAGAATTAACCTCAATTCTCTGAAGTTTAAATAAGTCACGCACATTATATTTATTTTTTCGTACAGCAGCACTCATCTTGTTTGTTTACGGATGCGGATGAAGACAGGAAGTAAACCTGAAACTGATATCCCGACTTCTGGCAACAGCGGAAGTTCGTCGCTATGCTTGTGCACAGAGTCTATTAGGCGGGTTTTGTTGTGAAAACCTGGCAACCCTGGTCACGCTTATTGACAGTGTAAGATGATTTACGATTAGCTGTGTCGGAAATCCAACCACGGATTGGCATGTTGTTATCTCAGAAACAGGCTCAGCCATCACTGAATCAGGTAAACTGGTTATATATTTATGTTTCAGTATAATTACGCACGCTATACCAGGGCGGTTCTAAACTCTTTTTAGGTGGGTTTCAGCCCCCCTATCTGTCACCTTAGCCCCCCAAAAGTATCTTAACGATCAGGCCAGTGCTGCTTCCTCGAGAAAGTTTTTCATTCTCACGTGTTTTAAGTCTTGTCAGTTTAAACATGAAAGTAATTTTAAGCCATTTAAGCCCAAGACATCTCAATGCGGCACTCACACACTGTGATAGAGCATTTCTATGCACACCGCTCACACATCTGAAGTGCACAAACTTGACAAGTATCCTTGTAAGCACAGTCGGTTGTGAATGTAAACAGTAAAGAAAATAGCAAATGTACATCAGTATTACGGATCCGTGCATTTCTTATGTAAATAATGTTAATCAAAAAGAGCAAAAGAAAAATTATTTGCTGCTTTAATAGCTTTAATGGATATTTGATTTTATGTTAATGTTAATAAAGTAATTCGGTGTGACTACAGTAATACCGGTGGGAGGGGGATTGTTGGATGTTGGGGGGGCGCGAGTGAAATTAGACCAACTTGGGGGGGCGCATGTCCTAAAAGGTTGAAAACCCCTGCTCTAAACCAGTGTTTCCCAACCTTTCTTTAGATTTCCACCCTTTGGAAATTTTAACAAATTTGTGGCACCCTAAAAAATTTATTTTGTCACAATATTTCAATTTCTAACTTCGATATGATACTTTGAAAAGTATAGATATTCGGTACAGCAGGGAAGAACTGCAGAATATACTGTCATACAGATATTTTTTATATTATTAAAAAAATGGTCCATCAGTGGTTGCAATCAGTAGGCTAATTTCTAATGAAAATACCAATTTATACGACAGATTTTAATGTAGGCTTTTATATGTAAGCATTGTGAGATAGCTAGTTATAACTTTAAAAATATTTTAAAAATATTTTTTACACGGCACCCCGGTTGGGAAACACTGCTCTAAACAATGTAATGACATGAGAAAATACTAAATTCACAAAACTGTTTTTTTCCTGGTAGTCAGGAGGATATACAGGCACTTAAAGTACATGGTATATGAAGTCACCACTTTAGTTGAGGGGCCACACACATGATGAAGTCATGAGAAGCTAATGCTTAGTTAATGATGACTACTGTATTTGGATGTTAACAGAATTCCCGTGATATGTGCTGTGATTGGCCAATGTTGGGGTCTGGTCACCACTTTAGTTGAGGGGCCACAAACATGATGAAATCATGAGAAGCTAATGCTTAGTTGATGACTACTGTATTTGGATGTTAACAGAATTCACGTGATATGTGCTGTGATTGGCCAATGTTGGGGTCTGGTCACCACTTTAGTTGAGGGGCCACAAACATGATGAAATCATGAGAAGCTAATGCTTAGTTAATGATGACTACTGTATTTGGATGTTAACAGAATTCACATACTATGTGCTGTGATTGGCCAATGTCAGGGTCTGTCCATTTTCCTGCAGGCTACTATGAAGAAGATATGAACATGCTTGATAAGTATCATATTTAATGAAAAACATTAGTTCTCACATTAATTGATATACTGTTCTAGCCTGTATGCATGCATGAGGTAATGTGGATTTTTGTATATTCCTTTAATAATTCAAGTAGTCTTACATGCACAAAATAACGCTTTTTTGAATCATGTGCCATAAGCATAACTTTATCCACAATGGATAGTAAAGACCTTGTTTTTTGTGAACAAAGAAAACATCATGATCATGCGTAATAAATTATAAATCATGATGATGTACTCACCTTACTTAATGTCTTAATTAAGGTGTTGTTCATCCATGAAGTCATGAATGAAAGACTTTGAACTCATGTTAGTTCCTGATAATTCATGAGATATTAATGCATGAAGTAATGCATAATTCACACATTATGAATTCATGGTAATTCATTTACCCTTACCATAAAGTGTTACCATGTGACCTTACATGTTCAAGTCTCTATCGCTATATATTAAACTAACTTCACAAGTTTCACTTGTGACTACACTGATAGAGCAAGATACATTCTGATATTTGTCCTCTTTCATGGACAAATACTTTCTTCACTCTAAATGCGTTTAAATTCGTCATGTTCTTCTATCTCTTAACCTTTAGCAAATTAGTTTTGAATCTCGCTGAACTTCTCACTAGAAGTGAATTACACTTGCTCTGTGTTGCAAGGCATGTGATTGACTATTTGCCACTGATGTCACACACATCTTGTTACAGGCCCCTTTGTAAGAATAATGCAACATTGTTAGTTATTATCTGACCCATGAAATACATTTTATTGGTGTTATATAATGTAGACAGCTCCCCATGTGCTCCGTGACCTAGTTTTCTCCCTTGTTTGATTGTGTTTATTCGGTTCAGGTGTGTCCCGTTAATTACCCTCGTTTAGTTCTGTATTTAAAGTGTTGTCTGTTCCTTGGTTCCTTTGTCCGGTGTCGTCGATGCTACGTGCTACGTGTCTGTTCCTGCCTGCCCTGTGTTACCCCCTGTTTGAAATAATAAAGACTGTTCTTCATGACTCTCCTTCGTCTCCGCGTTCCTTGACTCCACACAGTAGGCACCGTAACAGAACACTGGACCAAATAAAGAAAGAATCAGTGAAAAACCTTTTCCCCCCGTTTTGTTTCCTCGTGTTTTGAAAGTTTTTTTCTGTTTTTCCTATGGATCCCTTCGCTGCTTT